TTATAATACGATTTTATGTGTTTTTAATAAAACAATAATGATTTTATTTTTGAATAAAATATAAATTTGAAGATATCATAAAATTTTGAAAAAAAAAATATCAATGTTAATATCAAATCAACTATTTAAAAGTTCTTATTTTTATGTAATTTCTTTAATTTATTTTTTTAAGTATAATTTAATTTAAGTTTAGTAACAAAATAATTTATTTTTTTGTTTAATAATATAATATTTTATAAAGATGATAATTAAATATTCTGTTAGAACTCAATATTATCCTAATTATATTTTAGATTTTTTATATTTCAAATGAGATGTTAATCCCATATTTGATTATGGTTATCTGCAGTTGGTTACACGAATTCAGATATGGAGTTTTAATAAGTTGTACTTACGCACAATCTACTTGCAATCTTGAATTTAAGTAATATGCATTAATAAACAGTACTTTATGCTTAAAAAAATAATTTTTAAGAGTTTTTATAATACAGTATAGATTATGTGTTTTGAATAAAGCAATAATGATTTTATTTTTGAATAAAATATAAATTTGAAAATATCATAAAAATTTGAAAAAAAAATATCAATGTTAATATCAAATCAACTATTTAAAAGTTTACATTTTTTTTGTAATTTCTTTAATTTTTTATTATAATTTAATTTAAGTTTAATAATGAAATAATTTATTTTTGGTTTAATAATATAACATTTTATAAAGATAATAATTAAGTATTTTATTATAACTCAATGATTATCCTAATTATATTTTAATTTTTTTATATTTAAAATGAGATGTTTATTCTGTATTTGATTATGTTTATCTGAAGTTAGTTACACGAATTCAGATATGGAGCTTTAATAAGTTGTACTTACGCATAATCTACTTGTAAACTTGAGTTTTAAGTAATATGCATTAATAAATAGTATTTTACGCATAAAAATAGTTTTTAAGAGTTTTTATCAAATGATTTATAATATAGTATAGACTAATAATTAATAATAATTATAACTAGTCAATGACTAAGATTAATGAATAATTTACAATTAAAATTAGTTGATATTTTAAAATTAATATTAATTACTAAATTGAAGTTAATATTAATTAGTAGACCGAAACTAATAGTAACTAATTATTGATAACTAATAATGAATAATAATTAATATTAATCAGAGTTATAATTGAAAAAGTGTCAAAACACCCCTAAAGCGTTACTCTAACTAGCGTTTCAATAAGCTATTTTATGTTCATCCAAACATATATTCAAAAAATAAGTTAGTTTATGTTTGTCAATCAATATCTAACTAACTATTTCAATTCACTTAAGAGTTGTTTGGTTCATTGAATTGAAAGGATTTCAATGGAATTGGAATAGTCAATTCTTTTGATCAAATTCCAATTTTTTTTGTTTGGTTCACATATTGATAATATAGAAATCCTTTCAATTCCACTGAATTCCTTAGACTAAAGATTTCACCGTTCCATGGAATATTCCAAAATTTTCAATTTCTTTAACAATTCCATCTAACCAAGTGCGTGGTCGAATTTCCTCAAATTTCATTTCAATTTCTTCAAAATCAAATTCTTTTGTTGGATTCATATATACATAATTTCATTCTGCAAACCAAACGTCCCTTAGATTTCACTGATTAAATGAGGTTTTAGTGTTTTTAATAGCATATACAATATTGTAAGTTTAACAATTATTAAAATTGTTTTACAAACTCAAAAACTTTCATTGTACTATCGAAAAAAAACTTATGCAACGTTTAGCATCATGAAATTGAAATCTATCAAATCAATTGGAATTTGACGGAATTGAAATAAAATTCAATGAATTTTGACCATGTGTTTGATTGGTAAGAATTGAAATTTACATATTTGGTTGGTAGAATGTAAGTTCGGAACTGGAATGAAATAATAATAAATAAATATGGCATTTTCATTTTTTCTGCTTAAACTAGAAATGCTACATAATGATAATATTAATTGAATTTTAGCGATAACGGTGATGGCGACCATGGGTCGTGGTGGTGGCGATGGTCATGTATATAATGGTAGGCTAGTGTTCTTTAAGGATAGTTTTCAAAAAATGGGTAGGTATAAAATTAATTCCATCATAGAAATAATTGAAATTCGGAAACAGTAGAATCTATGGAATTCAATTTCATTTCATGTGCAAATCAGAAAGTTTAAAAACCCCTTCAAATTCCATAAAAAGCATTCAAATCAATACCTCCTTAATTGTTTGAACAAATGAATCATCTCGTTTTAACGCAATACCTCTAGTAATTCACAATATAATACAAAAAATACGATATTTGAACTAAAAAACTCATAAGTTGACTTAAAAAAGTTTCAACTCTTTGAAGAGACTATTAAACCGTTCTTTTTCTTCCATTTAAAATCTAAAGAACGTAAGATTCTTAGGTTTGGAAGTTTACACTAATGAAAGAACAAGCAACATGTTGGGGAAGTCCCTCTCGATGGGAGTTGTTAGAAGTCTACGACTGATAATTACATATCACCAGAAAAATAGGACGTATCGTACAAGCTATACAACATCCATATAAACTTTCATCCAAAAATCAAATGTTTATTTCATTTCTTATAAAATTATATTTATTTATCCCCTTAATGTTTGGCAGTTGCTAAATGGTTCGGTGCAGAATGATTAAGAGACTTTCATGATATAGTGAAAAATGAAATATAATTGTTTGGTAATTGTTTACAATGAAATTAGGACGCTGAATGGTTAAGGGAGGCCCGCGATACAAAATCATTCAGAGAGTTTTAAAACCATTAAGAGACAGATTTTTTTTGCCAAACAAGATTACCTCTTAACAATTCAGAGATTGCATCTTAATGGAACTATTAAGAGGTAAACAAATAACCTCTTAGTCTTAATCAAGTATGAGAACAAATTGGTAGGCATAACAAGGACTATGGTTCTTCCATCGAAACTTACTATTCTCGTCCTTTTCTAGTTTTTCCAACCGATGCGGGTGTGAAAGTTCGTTACAAGCTTCACCAAGTACATCCATGTATGTAGGGATGTAAACGAACAAGAACAGAGGCTTATTCCTGTTGTTCATTTGTTCGGTCGGTAAACGAACAACACTTTTTGTGTTCATGTTCGTTCATAAGAAAATATGTTTGTCCGTGTTCGTTGTCGTTTATATTCGTTCGTTAAGATTCTAAACAAATTGTAAGCGAATGAAAAAAAAATAAACAAAAAAACAACCAATCATTACTCATCATTTTGTTCCTAAAAAATAACATAACAAAATGAAAAGGAGAATTCTAAAAATTTAGTTTAATTGATGATTTTAGATATTAATGTGATAAATATGTATATATATATATATATACACGTAAATGAACATAAACAAACGTAAAGAACACTATCGAACATAAATGAACGAACAAGATCATCGTTCATATTGTCCATTTAATTAAACGAATAAGAAAAAGGCGTTTGTGATCATAAATAAACAAACTTTCGGTTAAGCGTTCAGTTTATTTATGGTCTTACATATATTCCCAAAATCATCACAAAAGCTCATATTTTAGAAATTGGTCAACTTTGATTACATCTTTATTTTTGGCAATTCAATTGGGTAAAAATAGAAAAGGTTATCTAAAAATTGGGTGCTCTAGCGATCTTACATGCACCTCGACTAATCCCAAAGCCCTGTAGGTTAGCAAAAAAAAAAAAAATCCCTAATGATCTTGCATGACTTGAACCAATGAGTTATGAGCATTTGTATCTATATGCATCAAGATCCCGATTCACGAATCTCCTCAACAACAACCCGTTATTCGGGAGAGCCTTTACCTGAATTCATACATGTTCTCGCAGGTCTTACTATGGTTTATGTGGAAAGATTGTATGTTTCCTCCAACACTTTTTATCAAAAAAATTGTATGTTTTACAGTAATAACTAGTCGACAAGATTTCCATTTTTGCCCCTCTATTCTTTGACCCATTCTCATCTCCAAATTCCAAGGGCCTACCAGCCTGTTTACTAGTGTAGTGCCTAACTGATCCTCAAAATGCAAGTCTAACCACAATATTGGTCCCTAAACTGACTGAGTCCCCATTTATGATACCACTTCTCTTTGGTACTTGGCTCTTAAGACTTGTAATCATATGATGGATGTTTGTATGACCCCACAATATGTATTATTGTATTCCCAAGTGATGGATATAAAGTTGGAATAGCCATCATCAACTATAACAACACTTTCATGGAGACCCACAAAGCCTCCTTAACCAATCATACCAATAGCTGTAATCTCAATTATAATATCACAATTTGACTTTAAAAAACCGAGTTCTTCTAATCATGACAAAACCCATGGTCCACTTCCACTTTATTACCACTCTCAGTTTACCCCAGTAAAGGCGATTGCTAATAACGGAAGCCGCAGTTGTGCTGAAACACTTACGGGCTAACTTTATTTTTGTGAAATAAAGGGCGGGCGGGGGCAATTCGATGTTTATATATTTACGTGATGACGGTGGGGGCAGTACGGCCAGTGAATTCTTGCATCTTTGAGAGTTTTAGAGCAACCTCGACCTGTGACCAAACAAGTGAAGATGCCCAGTTTAACGAAAAGACGTAAAGTCTGTGTATGTTTCTTTGTTTATGAAAGTTAGATGATGAGATACCAGAGGAGCAAGTGCTTCCTGAGAATCTCTTCCGGTCTTGGATGGATCTTTCTCGTATTGTTCGATGTAAAGACGAATTGTTGCACCTTCTGACCCAGTTCCTGATAAACGGAAGACCTACAAACGCATATAGAACAATTCCCCATTTTTCAGTTCCCTACTTTCTAACATCTTTTTAACTTTATGTATGTATAAAAGAAACAACAAAATTCTAAAAATAATGACTATTCCTTTGTCAATTTCTTTATTCAACACCAATATGAGATTAAACAACCGTACAACACTCACCAAACGTGACCCATCTTCAAACAAATATCGGATTCCCTGATGTTTTGAGATTGAGCCATCCACAGGATCTTTGTATTCAAATTCATCAGCATTGGCAACGTTCGACACATCTGATCGTACCCCTTTTATGATCCTGCATAATTGAAAAAGCACAAGGTGACTAACTCGATTCAAGCAATCTGAAGGATACGATGCAAGAAAGATGCAAAAATAATTTTAATGAGCTTTAAACTTTTCATCTTATGTGACCAAAGATGTTTATGATATGATCACGCTTAAGACATTTTCACCAGCAACTTGACATTTAGCATACTTCTTCACAACCTACTGTAGCATTCACGACACCGGAGCATCATCAATTAAAACACTATCTTAGTGTCTACCGTTAATGATATCATGAATAAGCGAAAATAGAGACTGGATGGCACCCGTTGGTGTATTCTTAATGTAATGGTGAAATCACCAGCAAGGGGAAAAACTCGAATTTGCTAGAACCCACCGGAAGCAACAGAAGATAATGCAATATCCCTCCTTTTAGCATCTTATAGAAAGGAAACACATCTAGAAGAAATCAGGAGAAACTTACTTGTTAACTTCCCCAAGAGAGGATTGCATCTTGACCAAGTAAGCCATTAGTTCCTTTGCAGCACCTGCATCAACATTCTTCAAAAAAGAGATAGTTCTGATCAATATATTATGACAGTTATAAATTCCAACAGTCGCATTATTAGCAATTGAATGTCTTAAGGACCTCATAATCATAGCGAGTGTAATAGTGACGTCCGAAGGTGGCCCAATGCTGCTTAACAATGTCTTCAACAGTCACAAGTTCCCCACCATTGAGGTTGTCCTTGTTTTTATAAGCAAGAATGGATAACCAAGCCAGTACAGCCCAGATGCCATCCTTCTCACGAATATGGTCCGAACCTGTACGAAAGTAATTAGCAAAAGTAAAAGGAAATTCTTTAACGCTTCAATTTAATTTTTTTCCTCTCATAGTTTAATTGATAAAGCTTCTAATTTTCTAGAGAAAGCAACAAAAGCATGCACTCAAAGCACCTAGTAAAGGTATTTAAAAGAGCTACTATAAGGCCTATTCTTTTACCTGATTAATAAAAGATTATATGCAATGTAAGGTAGGCAGACACTCATACACATTAGATCCATTAAGGTCTCGCTAGAATCTAACAATCTTTCTCCATGTCCACCTTTAAGCACATACACTGCTCTGGTGCTCCCATCCAACAATAAGGCATAAACTAAATAAACCACCAAAAACCTTCAGGGTTTCAAGTTTAAGCAACAGGAGCTGAAGCTAGCAACCGATGAAGACATATGGCACTTCTATAATAAAATTTTAGCAAAATTAGTGTTTTAGACTTTTAGTTGGTTATATTATTCCATAAAGAGGAAGTTCCCTCCATATTTGTTGAAGCTTTTTTCTTCCAAATTTGTTGTTCTTTTGTTCTTTTTAATCATTAATAGAGATAACTGAACATACAGAATCCAAGTGAAATAGAACACACAAGAGAATACAATACTGCTGTTTTAAATCTGTAGACAATAAGAACAAAAATTTCATCTTTCTTTCTCTTTTCCTCTGTACAAAGAATGCTTACCAGTTCCAAAACTCTCTTCACCGCAGATTGAGCATAGCCCAGCATCCATCAAGTTACCAAAGAATTTCCAGCCAGTCGGTACCTGTCATACTAGGAATAAGTAATTTTTTCCTCAAGAAACTGGACTCTAGAGTTGACACAAAGGTACCTCAAAAAACTTCAAGTTCAGATGATTAGCTACAACATCAAGAGCAGCTGAAGTGGGCATGCTCCTGCAGAGAAAGAAGTGATAAACATTGAATTAGATTACTAATTGGACTGAGATACATATTCTATCAAAAGCATGTGGGTAAGTAAATAACACAAGGTTCATATATTAACAAGTATATGCAAAAATGCTACATAACGAGCAAGACAATGGTGCGCAGAAAAAGGATTTATATTGGTTTAAGAAAGAAAATCAAGCATGGACAAATATAGTACACAGAACCTATAGATATACACTGAACGAAGAAACTAGCCTATATGTATGAAAGTAACCTGGCAACACCCTTTAAATCAGATGAAAAATAGGGTATGGCTTGGACTGCATTGGCAGCAATGATAGCGACAGAATCCGAAGGAGTAACAAAAAACCTGGATTCAGAAAAAAAGTTAACAGTCTAAGGCTCTCCCAGGAGGTAGTTATTTATATCTACAATAACACATCAAGTATGTTTATACCTTTTACCAAGGATCATGTTCCTATCAGCATCACCATCTGCTGCAGCACCAAATTCAGGAGGGTCACTATTAGGATTCTTACCTAGACCCATTCGTGATACCAACTCTTTGGCATACGTTAAGTTGGGATCTGGATGCCCTCCACCAAAGTCCTCCTGTTCACACAATGAGTCAGTAAAAAGAGAGTAGAAACATAAATTGTAAACAGAACAGATACACGGAGAGATAAGTTATCTCCAGATATCAACTTAGCTTAAAAGGTAGAGAATAGATGACATGCATTAGATACATAAATAATAACCTTGGGAATGCAGTTCAACAATGAGCTCTCTTTTGCACCAAGCTCTTCAACAAATATACGTTTAGCATAAGCTCCGGCAACTCCACTAAGTGCATCATAACTAAGAAATCACAACAGAAGCAACATCCAACAGATACTTGAGAACAACAGATGACTACATTAAACCAAAATAACAGTGAAGAAAAGAAGAAAAGGCAATAAAATAATTCTGTGATGAATGCAAAACTACGCACCAGAATGTGAATTGTGGGGATGTAAGTAATTTCTGGATCAATTGAAAGTCAAAAATTGACCTGAAACAATAACAAAGAAGTTTGATCAACAGCCTGTAGCAAAAATGAACTGTGAAGGACATAACTACTTTCTTAAGCTTATACATCGATATGAAACTGCAGTGTTCAAATAATCATCTAGTGGCATGGCATAGCACCACAAAAAAAGCAATACTAATCACAAACGACGAAATTAGTTAAGCTCCGAGAGTCATGATTATCAATGGTCTTCAACTTCATGACCATGCTGATAAAAATTAAATACATGGACGACAACGAGTACTTTACATTTTATAAGTTGACTATTCCTTCATTTAGAAAACCTGTATGGAAAGTAGGTAATTATCAAGAGTAATGGCATACTTCATCAATTTCACATAGTCGCTCGCTGCATCAAAAACCTCTACATCAAACTGGCCCTCGGGACCTGAAAAGTTTGAAATGCCAATTGCAGAGATGTCCACCTGAAAAACACATATCGAGCATGTAATAAGGAAAATGCATATCAAACAATTTTTATAGAACTGTATTAGAGTCTGCATACTTCAGGTAAGTCTTCTGCAATAAGGTACTCCTTTATTGTTTTTGTGTTCTCGTAGATCTTGTCTGTAATTCCTTCAGGTGCAGGCCCGCCATTTTCCATGTTGTATTTAATTCCAAAATCCTGTAGCAGTGACCAGAAAAGATATGAGTTAGACTATTCTTTATTGTACTTTTTTCTATAAATAGTCACAACATACCTCATTAGGACCACCTGGATTGTGACTGGCCGTCAATATAAATGCGCCATTTGCCTTGGATCCCTGTCGTATCAAAAGCACAAGGGTTACTAACCAAGAATTAGCAAATACATTGCTAAAATCACAACAGATGGGTACAGCTTTTACATACATCGGCACCAACTCTTTCACGTACAACTGCTGAGACAGCAGGTGTCGAGAGAAGTCCATTTTGACCAACCCAAACACGTCTTACTCCATTAGCAGCTGACATTTTGATTATAATCTGCAGTTTTCTTAATATACATGTTATTTAATAGTGTGTGATCTTGTCAAGATGAATGATAGGATGATGTAATGACATAACCAGTACATTTGGGGTCAGACTACGTGACTTCATTAAGAACCAAGTTAGGAACATGGCATTTGACCTCAGGGAGAACTAAAGAAAAAACCAGTTACATCAGAAGGTTTTACAATAAGGCCATGTATGCTTTATGAGCTTCTTTTTGCATCACGACCGTTAAGAGGTGTAGACTATTAAGTGTGTTTGCTTGGCACATTTATTAAGCACATAATACCAATTAACATATAGGAATTATGCGATCCTCTTATTACAGTTTTCTAAACAAAAGAATTCTAACTATTTTCAGATCTCGTGCAAGCCCAACTCTCAACCATACCTGAATTGTTTGTTTTTTCTGATGAATAATATATATTGGTGGAGAACACATGTTTTTAGATGCTTCATCCAGTTAACTGGGATTCATTGTAGATATACTTACTTGTCTGGATGAAACTAATGGATAAAAGCTTCCTCGTTGTCGATAAACTAATGTGCACAACTGATGTAGTGGCCTGCCATTTCATTATTGTACATATATTTTCTTCTCAGTGTAACTCCTCATTTTTACCAATAATCCACCTAGATTTTCTAGTTTTCAAACTTGTTTAAGAAGCAAGTACTTCCTAGGTATTACAAAAAGATAATCTCCAAAACTAAGTCTATATAGTTGCATCTTAAAGTGTTGTTTCAAAAGGGTAATAGAAGCACCTGGATCGCATCCTTTGAGTAGTACCGGCCATCACCAGAAACAACGAGTGTAGAACCTGTACATGAGAAAAAAATGCAGTCATCAAAGTTGGCATAGTTGATAGTACAATTGATTATGTATTTAGATATCTAAGAAACAGGAACCACTTGGAATCTCAGAAGAGCAAGTATATTACATAAGAATGTTCTAACTAGAAATCCCTATCTTCCTCTTATTTTAGTCATTTTCTCCCATGCTTCCTTTCATGAATGGGGCAACCAGGTTAGTAGTTAGGAGCGATCTTTACATGAGAAAGCCAAGACACATTCCAAAGGTGTCTTCCCATGAAACAAAATTTGCCAGACCCATGTGGATGGTGGAAAAGAGATTATATCCATAACACGACAAATATACATTCTATATCTACAAACATTTTTACTGCAATTCATGTATCAAGAGAATCATTAAGCTGAAAGCAATCATATATACTTAGAAGCTATAAAGGTTAAAAGCCAACGATACTGAGAAAAGGAAAAAGAGTTGTTAAATCAAATAAAGATAATGTCATGAATATATAAGAAGGTGGCTTGGTCCCTACCTTTAACTTTCTCTGCAGAAAGAGCATTGAAGGTTGATTGAACAAAATTATGCAAGTAATGTGGCTGTGTGAACACTTTTACCTGGAAAAGTTCACATCAAATCACATTAATTAGCTGGTGTAAAGATGATATATTGACAAATGAAAAAGTTCCATGAAAGGAGCATTTATATCCTCATGTTAGAGATGAGAAATAAGTCAAATAACAAAGAAGCATGTCAGAAAAACAATAAAATAGAAGATTTCTGGACAAGAGAAATGAATTTTATAATAACTAACAAGATTATCAAACCTTCTCTATTATTGCCATCCTTATATGTTTCGCTCATATGGTAGCACCATTGCTTAACATCAAAACTGTCAATTGATGCAATCAAACATACCAAGTCCATACTGGAAAATATCAACCCCTTTTATGTCCCCTGTCTCTTAAATGGTAAAGTGTTACGTTTGCAACTTCTTCTACCAGAATGTTTTTGTTAGTTCTGCTTAATTGCCAACTATACGATAATGACAGTTTAATATATGACTAAAACCATTCATTTAGTCAATATGATGAGAACGTATATAAACACTTTCATTTAACTGAAAACCAACTCCACTAAATAGAATTGATCACTTCTAGTATGTCAAGTCATGTCAAGCTACCATGAGCATATATCATTATATTGCATTGATCATGCAACACTGGAAGATAACATGCTACCTACACATATATTCAAAAGGATACATGTCATTCCTGTACCTACATCCAAATGCCGTTGAGCTCATTCCGTTATCATCCCAAGTACTTAAGGTTGAGCATTTTTACTAGTTAGAAGGGAAATCAATCATTGTGATTACATAATACATGTAGCTTTATCAGCAGGGCTACCCAAGCTGGTGAGTTCTTGTCACTTAACATCATTTATGGCCTCTATCTTTTAAACAAAGGTCGTCCCAAGCACATCATAATGTAGTATTTGAGAAGTGTCTACCATCTAGTTTACTGTATGTGTATTCTTTTTCCCTTCTGCTAATCTTTAAATGGTGGGCAGATCATGTTAAACTTGCACATATTCAACTCAGCCTTCTCAAGGATCACTTGAAGAGAACTACCTGAAACATGTTCCACCAGTATGCATGCAAATGGTCCTTCTCAAAATAATAACATGTATAGACTGAACATTTTACCTAGAATGGATAACATCATCCCATGGTTCCCTAAAGGCTCTCAGGCATCTTCTACATCCAGGGAATAGAAGGCCTTTGGATCATGTAAGTTGTAACTTATTATCTTGTTCAATAATAACTAACCCCTCCAAGCTCAAATATCTTGAGCTGACCAAAAAACTGTAGCAACCGCTTTGTGGGAATCTAATAAGTATATAAAGAAGGCCTTTGGATCAAATAATCCATTTTGTTTCTAATAATGATCTTGCAAATAGGAGATTGACAGGCAGACATCAAATGATTCATTGTTTACTCCCTTGACCAGTTTGTGTTTTTAAACCACGTGGTGATTCTTCATCTTCTGTTCGCACACCACTTGGAGTGTTTACTAAGCCAAACTGAACGAGCCCAGTACATCCCATCCAGAGGTGTGGTCTGGGGCGTAAAGGTATTCGCTTCAGCCTGGAAACTGCCGAGCGCTGACTACAGTAATAGAGATGGGAGAGAGATGTACACAAGCCTATTTCCGTGAAGACCCCTTTGCACGGACTGCTGAAATGAAGTTGTTTAAACACTACCGCCTAGGGTAAGTTCACAAAAATCATAGATTTAACCCAACTATGTCCACTTTTTCTTGCTGTAAGATATTAAACCTAATACCCAAGTAACCATGTTTGTAATCTCTTAGTCCTATAGCTCCAAAATATCGTTCCTTTTAATATTATCACTTTGTAGTTGACAGAACCCTCAATCTGTGCAGTACAATTTTGAAGTTAAGAAGTTAAATGCGGAGTGCCCTCAAACCCTACGAACACCAGATCCGTTCATGATAGCCAACATGGATCAAAGAAAAAAAAAACAGAATCCAAATATTCATAGTGCAAAACAATCCGATCAGGCTTCAAACATGCATCAACAGCGACAAACTTTTTGATTTTACACATGACAAAGGAACAACTATCTGTTTAAGTATTCTTAACGCAATCAAGATCAAGATCAAAAATACGAAATGAGTTAATCCATATCGATATGAAACTTTGCATAAAGTAAACAGGAAACCTTCTTCCTAAGTCCAGAAGTTCCAGGTTTTTGGCCATCAATTGGCGCAGATTCAACACGGGTAATCTTGAACGTCACCATGTCTTCAATTTTGGGCAGGGAGAAAAGGATTGCAGAGGGGTTAAGGTTGGCGAAGAGAGTATGAGAGTGAGAGTGTCGACAACAAATATAATTCGAACCGCACGTCTCCTGACCTGACCTGACCTGGTGCGGGTGGATGTGAGAGACCGAATTTGGCTCGTAGCCCCACAACATGACCCTAACCTCAAGTCGTCTTGATCCATCTTTTCTCGTACGCAACTGTTGTTTCCATTCGAACCCTCCAGAACAACTGGTTGGCCAAATCCATTTCTTTGCATACTCTCAATCTCAAAACCACTTTTCAAATGAGAACAAATGAAATAGTTAGGCAATGGAAACAAGACAAACAAAAAAAGGTCCCACCAAAATGAAACACTACTTTTTAGGATCCTAAAGTTGTTTGTTTAGCTACACCAAAAAAACAATATAATAATTTTACTGAATTGATTACATATTTTACTTATCAGGAGTGTTTGAGATTGTTTATAGAAACAACTTATTGATTTATTTTGGTGTGGTAATAGTAATAAATATTTTTAAGTGTTTGGATAAACAACTTATATCGGTGTCAAACCAATAATAAGAATTTTTTTTAAAAATTAAATCATTCTAACTTAGTATTTATACGTTCCCCAAGAGCCTCAAGGGGTAAGGTTATCTTTGACATTTAATATGTAAATATGAATTGCAAAATGCATGCACACTTAAGCCCAGGTTCATGTAACTCACTCGTTTATCCAAAACCTAAACAAGGAGTTCTTATTTGACTTGGCTCTTATATGATAGACGTTCTTTTTTCTAACAAAGTTTCAACAATAAGATGGTATCAAGGTCGTCGTTTAGCATGTTAAATGTGATATTTTGAACAGGGTCCCCAAAATTTTGGAGTCCAAATTTACATGTGTTTAGGGTCTTTTTTATCGACATGTGTAAAATTATAGCTGAAATTATTTAGGTTCAAATCATTAATGGTTTAGGTTTAGTTTCAGATTGTTAATAATTTTAGGTTTAGCCCATTTTTATTCTTAACATATATTATATGTCATCTCATTAATGCTATGTAATCAAAAGTTTTGTATGTAGCAGGACCTCCAAAAAGATTGGAACGTCCCTGGATGGTATCATTACTAGACAGACAATACGCCTTGGTCAAACATTTTAACATTGTTTCAAGAATTCGATACAAACCACACTTTAGGGACGTTTGTGACAGTCATATAAATTATATTGTCTTGTAACGTTTGCTAAATCTGTTCTAAAAGAATCTATTTTTTAAAACAATTCTAACAAACACTTAATTAGGGGGAAAAACATTTTAATGGCGTAGGGCATGCACCTTTTGGTAAACCTTTATTTTTATTTGACTCAAACCCATAGTTTCACTTTACAAAACCAAACGGGCATAATTTTGATATCAATCTCGATTTCTAGCTCGTTTAACATACATTTGTATGTCATACGTATGTTTCGAATATTTCTATTGCCTTATTATAACTCCATTAAAACATTGGTTAGGTTTGATCCAAGTTTACGTCAAAACGCCATGGTAAAACCATGAGTTTTTCTCGAGTGTTCCTCATTTAACCAAACGGGTGATCAACAATAAAAAGCCCTACCAATCAAAATTAACAAAAACGTAATTTACTTTACCTGAAACCAAATCTCTATTCAAAACTTTGCTATGAAATGGTTTAACAAAAAAAATTTGGACGTATAATTTTACATCTATTTTTTTAGAGGTAAAGGAAAATTTATGTGACATTTGTGACAAAAAATTGGATGTAGGATCACACATCCATCTATTTGAGAGTTGCATCCATTGGAGGAGAGGACGAGATTCAAAATGCAACCGTTCATCGGTTCATGGATGATGCCCCCTTTGCTTGTGATGCCATGGGCTGTCTCCGTGACCGACCAACTCTAGAGTCGGACCTACACTAAAAAAATTCAAACTCTTATTTCAAAACATGTTTTAACTTTACTTCTAGGTCAGCCTCATCTTCAAATGAGGGTAACAATAAATCTTACTCTAAGTCCTTAAAAATTAGTATGAAATTTAGCACAAACAATAAATCTACTTTAACCAGTAATAGAGAATCTTACATTAAAATGTAGAGTAAATTATGTTTTTAGTCCTTGTGCTTTGTTGAAAACTTTTGTTTTCGTCCCTATGGTTTTAAAATTTCAGTTTTCATCTTTATGATTTATAATTCAATGTCTTTTTTCGTTCTTATGATTTAAAAAATTATTGCTTTTTTTGTCTTTATGATTTACAATTCATTTTTATTGTAGTCATTGATACTTAAAAGTAGTGTTTTGGACTCATAAATGAAAATAGAAATGAATTGCAAACCATAGGGATGAAAAATGAAATCTTAAAACCACAAGAACGAAATCCGCAATTTTATGCAAACCACAAGGACGCAATTTTAAGGTGCTCAGTCATCTTTATTGGTATTTTATCTGTAGAACTGGTTTTGAATAAGAAAATAAGAATATAATTAATGTTCATATATGAATTTAATGAAAAAAACTATTTGAAGATACATATGTGAACCAATGTTACATATTATTCATATGGGTTTACATATGCATCTTCAAATGCCGGTGTCGGTGATTCTGTATGAACCTTCCATTGATCTTCTCTTTTTACCTTCTCAAGATATTTAGTTTTCTTACTTAAACCTCCCACTAAGTCAAATATGTAATTATTCCGTTTAGTAATTATTTCAGTATTATATGATTTATTTTAAGTTCTGAAATAAAAAAAAATAGAATTTAATTTATGATATAAAAAAATGAAGCTTTATATTTGATTGGTTTTGGTTCATTTTTATAGCTTGTGATGATGGAGAGTGACTTGCATAAGTTCACAAGAGTGTTGTGATTCTTTTAACAACTAAAAAGGCACAAAGATGGGTGGGAAAGAACAAAGGAAAAATGTATTAGTTCTTAATCAATTATGCTTTCTTACTTTATTAACAAAATAGAATATTAAAAAGCAACCAAAACAAATAACAAAATAAAGTCACATTAGTTTTTATCTAAATTAGTGTTGGGGTTCTGTTAGAAACCTTTCGTTTGAATACATCGAATAAGAGGTGATGTTAACTCAACTGACAATAAAGTTTGAATAATATTAGATATTTGTTCAGAGGTTAACAGTTCGAATCCTACAATGTCATTAGAGATTTCCCTGATATTCTTTAAGAAATTGTATTTAAGTGCTTAGATTTGGTAACCATAATATGTTTTATGTCTCGGTAGTCTCTAATAAGGCATGTGAGCAATACCCTTTTAACTTTTACATCATTTTATATGTACATGAGACTTTGAAGTTAACAGTTAAATCAACAGTATTTTTGCTATTTTGAAGAAAACAAAATGAGTAGTAGTATTTAAATGGAAATTATACATAAAAATGGAAGTAAAATGAAAACCTCCATGTGGGTAGCATCTTTCTTTTTTCTTTTCTTTTTTTAAGTTGATTGTAGCCAAAGTAAAAGTTAAAGAGTTTTAAAAAAAGCAAAAAAGTAGCATGCCCTAAAAGATTTTCTAAACTCAAATTTTATTTTGAAATAAACTACCAAAAGGGATCAATATATATTCATTTAACATTTCACTTTTTTCAACAATTATCAAAACATTTGATTCTAAATAAAATATTCATTTTAGAAACTAAAATATATTATTATTTTTCTATTATTTCAACGACACTCGTTTATTCATAATCAAGTATTACATATAGAAAAATTGAAGCTTTTAATTATAAAGAACAGTTTGAAATTTTGAATATGAATTCGGCTGAAAAAAGTATGATGAATTTAATGGACCAATTTTTTAATTAACTTTTCATTTTTATTTTAGTCTCGATAAAGATTGATCGAGTAATTTGAAAACGACCGATTGTTTTTAATTTCAAGATCATAATTATAACGATCCAATAACTGTTTTGGACAATAATTTAATAATTTGATTTTTCTATCTTAGTGTTTTCTATATTTATAAAAATAATATTTTTTTAGTTTGTACATAAAAGAGATAAAAGATAAGATAAGCCCCAAAAATAGATATTTCCATTTGCATGTATTTCAAAGATGAAATCATAAGATACATGATTTTTGTTATCTAATTATATATTTATATTCTATAGATTTTTTAATTAAAAATTTGGGTTTCTTTAAAAATGAGAGTTATGGTAAGAAATGTAAGGAAAATCTCCACCCTTAGATCAATTCTAATGGAAGAGTTTCACTGAATTAACACTAATGAGAAGTACCGGATCAATTCTTTTCTAAAACACAATTTATGGGTTGGTTTGGGATTAAAAATGATCAATGATTCAAATCGTTTCTTATAATTTTTATTTTAACTCTTATTCTCACACGTTTCTTATCTTTGATCCAATTGGTGAATAAAAATAATTAGTCGAGAATAAGAGGATGAGATGAACTATAAAAAGACAATGACATATTTATCATTGATATAGTTATGATAGTATAAAACTATAATTAATTGATATTTCTGTCTCCAATATATAAGAAAAAATGTACAAGATTTGCATTTTATTAGTTTTTAGTGTTTGGAATGACATTACGTGTACAATAACAACTTATATTTCTTGATTCAGGCCATGTTAAGTAATCATAATAGAACGACTTTTTTCTTGAAAGAAACTCAGCCTGATTTGACCATAAGCTCTTTCAAGAAGAAAGACTAAGTGTTTGTTTGATTGGTTTTCATTAAGTCGTATATCAATAAAGTTGTCTGTGTAGGATAATATGTTTATACAGATTAGAAAGATTTTGTTTAAGAGAGTTTTTTCATAAATGTAATGAACATGTTTTTTTTAATAGATCTCAGGCCAACCGTACCACATTGTAAGATCTCACATTGGTTAGGGTGGAGATCTAAGGTTGTCTTATAAGAAACTGAATACCTCATCTACCAGACGCGTTTTAAAATCATAAGTTTAGATGTATGGACAAAACGGACATTATCTTGTATGGTTGGTCTGAAATGTTACAAAACCACTACCAAACAGTTATTATAAATGACTGAATAATAGTAGGAAAAATAAATACATAAACATTATATCTTTTCGTGACCCGGAAACATATATTAAAGGGGTGTTTGTGATTGTTTATTTAAAACAATTTATGTTTTTTTTTTTGTAAAAATGCTTATTAACTTATGTGGTATCAAACCGGAGTTAAATAAAACATGGTTAAAATTGTAAACTGGTAATAAGCAGTTTTTCATAAGTCATGAACGATTAACTTATCAAAAATAACTTATTACCGGTTTAACACCGATATAAGAAGTTTTTTTTTCTTATCCAAACATCGGATAAAACATCATGTAAAATTTAAAAACTAAAAAAATTTACATAACCAATTACAGTCACTGCCTTCCATCATTACAAATAAAATAAAATAAATTAAAAAGGGTGCTAAAAAACAAAGAGCACTACAGCCCCTAAAATTAATTTTTTATTTCAATTAGGCCCCAACCGGAGCAGCTACAGATGCTTTCACCTTAGGCGGACGTCCTCTTCCCCTTCGTTCACCACTCGCCGCCGGCGATGGACCTTTTGTAGCAGAGCTCCCTAGCTTTGGTGGCCGTCCACGTTTCCGACCACTTACAGACGGGGTAACTTTCTTAGGAGCAAGAGGGTCTCTCGGTTTTGGTGGACGGCCTCTGGGCTTTGGCGGAGATAGGACGGTGTCTGGTGGGAGAGGCTGCTTGGATTTCGGCGGACGTCCTCGGCCTCGGCGGGGCGGGGCGTCTGGGTCGGGCTTAACGTAGTTGTTCTTAACCATGATGAGTTGGCCGGCGGCTTTCATCTTGTTGAGGTGGTGCGAGAGGAGAGTTGAGTGGGCCGTCGGAAGGTTGCCGTAGGTGGCTTCGATGTGCTTCGAAATCGTCGATTTGTTAGCTCCGTCCTTCTCATCTATGGCGTCGATCGCAGCAAATATCAACTGAATAAGCAAAATTAAGAGGAATTAGTAGGCATTCAGGGGAGAAAACAGGAAACCAAACCAAACAAAACCTAGATCATAAATGAAGCTTAACTTCTCCAAAATCAGTTGAAATCAAGCAAATCCTAGAAACGCACATAAAATAAAACCAAACAGAACAATCAAGCTCAATTTTACTATCGGAAACCAAAATGCTGCATTAACATACCAAATATAGTATATACAAAACAGCAAATCTAGGAATAATGAAGCTTAAATATCCAACATAAAAAACCGAGTTTAAGCAGATTCAAAAAATTAGGTGAAATTGAGTTCCAACTCACGAAGATTGTTCGAAGATGAAGAGAAACGAAATTCAAAATTCAAAATTGAGAATAAAAGTAGAAATGAACAGAGATGAAAGAAATGCAATTAATTATGAAACCTCAGGGTAGTGAGGAAAAGAGAGGGGAGGAGCAGGAGCAGGAGCAGCCATGGCGGTTTTGTTGGAGAAGAGAAAGATGATGAATAGAAAGACAAGGGTGGGAAGGTATTTAACAGTGATCAGATCAGCGTCAAAAGAATAAAAATACTTATTGAGCCAAAAAAATATTTAATTTAATAAAAATATTAAATTACACTTCAATTTTTGAAATTTAGAATCCATAACTACAAATCACTAAATATATTAAAATTTATCGCAAAGGAACGAAAAATAATGTAATTACATAGATTAGGTCAAAACAAAAACACAAATTTTAAGATGTAACTATAAAAACGATATTAATCTCAAGTTTTCTAATAAGAAATTATATTAACTTTTTAATGACAAAACATGTATTTTTATAAAAATAAAGATAGGTTTCGGCGCTTGGAAGTTGGAAATGCTTTGGAAGATAATCCAACGGCTAGGGATTGAAATTTGTGGCGATGATCTAACAGCTGCTATTGACTAGCAAGATTAATAAATGAATTCCTCATGCCATCATTACAGCTTCAGAAAATTCAGTATTAAATAAATCCATTCACTTTCACAGTCACACACATTTTCATTTGATATTTTCTATTGTTTATAAATTATAAGAGCATTGTTAACTAACGAGTGAATTACACTTTCAGTCCCTCAGGTTTACTCAAATGTTAGATTTGATCCCAAAACAAATTCATAACATGCATCCAAAGTTCTTAAAATTAGCGCTTTTAGTTAACAATTGTTATGAGAGACAATTACCGACAAGATACAAAGACCAAAGATTCACTCTAAAATGTAAATTACATTTTTGGTTTTGCGTAAAGATTGATTACGCAAACTAACTAACGGTATTAACTTCTGGATCTTTGAATTTTACGAAATTCAAAAGTAAAAAACCATCAATATAAATCATTTATTTTAGGGATTAAATCCAAATTTTAAACAAACCACATAAAGAAACAATATAATTCAGTCTTTTAAAAATAGAGTAGGAATCAAAGACCAAAAAGCATTGTTGTTTGATGGTATTTGAAGAATATTGATTATCTTTTGATCCATAATATTTTAATTATTGATTATTTATTATCTAATGAATATTTATTATTGAGGATTTTGCTATATGAATTTCTATTTGTATCAGATCAATTCAAATCATACATTTAAAAAAAATAAAGTATAAGTTTTGATATTAATATATGTTAATATTTTTTTTAGTTATTTTTGAAATTTTAATGGATATTATTTTATAAGCTTAATGTACAAATTTTAAAGCTCCACAACCTCTCATTTTTAATATTAAAAATTTAATCATTTTTAATATTTACTTTTTAAATTACACTTTATACTCTTATTATAAATAATTTAATTTACATTATATCAATTTCATTTCCATTTCACACATTTATCATATTAACATAAATAATCGTATAGGAAGAAAGATACATTAAAAATACATTTTTATTATAAATTATTTTAAACATTTATCACATAATTTATTTTCATTCAACACTTTATGTATCCATATAGTTAAAATGATATATTTTTTATTGTTTAGATTATTTATTTATAATAAAAATCAAACAATAATTTATCTTAATTTATTCAGATATATTAATGTTTAAAAAGGAACTTAATAAATAAAAAATAAGCATCCCCTAACAAGTATAGGTGATTTAAATTGTCCGGTTGGTTGCCGGGTTAAGCAAGGACACACAGGAAGTGTGTAGGACATAGCAGTCCAAGTCTGGCATCAAAGTGCGGATGTGGGCCCTGCAAAACCGTATGTTTCGGCTTTGACCATTTCTTCTTCTGCTTTATAATATTTTTTTTTTTTTATCACCTACTTGCATGTCTTGATAATTTCTTCTGCTTCTGGAATTTTTCTTATACCTAATTAATTTACGGTCATGTAAAATGGTAGTAAGGATGACTTATCTGTCAACTTTTTTACTATCATCCAGAAAAACTAAACTCTGTTTACGTAAAGTTGTCAGAGTACGATTAACCTCTGGATTTGAAATCACTGCTTATATACCCATCGTAATTCAGGAGAACATTCTATAGTCTTAGTAAGAGGAGGGAGGGTTAAGGATTTAACGTAAGAAAAATCTCATACATAAGGTTAGAAAGATTGTTTTCATGAAAACCTGCATCATAATTCATATTATACCAATCGAACTTGCTCGAAATTTTCTCATTTTGATCCAAAATTATAATCTATGCCCAAAACTCAAAACTTGTATCATCACATCTCCCTTTTTCCTAAAATGTACACTTCAAATGACTTCTGTACAAACAAACAAAAAAAATGCAACAATCTCCTGATCAATCTTTAACATTCGATGGGTCGTTTGCCATAAGGATCTGATACTGAACTCGCAAAACTTGAACTCGGATGACTACGATGAGGATTTGAAATCAAACCCACAAAACCCGACGTGCTAGCGGCACTGGCAACGGCAGTGGTGGTGGTTGTGGACCTAGAAGAATGAGAATTTGTGGCGCTAATCCCGGTGGAAGAGGATGAACCGGAGTGTCTGTGTGGTCTTCTGCCTGCTGTACCCTGGTAACCCGGCTTTGTTGGTTCGTCTAGCAAACTTGACTTCTTCGATAGCATCACCGCAACCCGACGCATTGTGGGCCGTAGCCGGGGGTCGGATTGGGTGCATAGTAATCCGATTTGTGTACACGTTGCCACCTGATCAGGGTCAGCTGAAGTGGCTAGTGATGGATCCATGATTTCGACAGCTTTGCCCTTCTCATATAGCTTATATGCCTGCAAAATCTTGATGCTTAAGCTTCAAATCAAGAATTTATCCTACTCGACTTTGAAAGCTTACAAATTGACATGATTGATTGGACTAATTCTTACCCAATCGAGTAGATTTTGGCAGTCATCGAGATTGAATGTAGAGTTCTTCTGACCGCTAATGAGCTCTAGAACCACTACGCCAAAACTATATACATCCGCCTTCACTGATAAATTACCATGCATCACATACTCTGGTGCCATATATCCACTGTATTTACAAGAAAAAGGAACATCATTAGCGATCAAGAGATGCCTTGGAAACCTCAAATCGACATTCTAAAATTTCAAGAATTCTTTTTTTTTTTTTTTTTTTTTTAAAAAAACCTTGTAACAATGTAATGAAGCAGCGAAGTCTGGGAGTAAACTTTACAACAATCCCCACATTAATCTTAGGACGCCAAATATGTTTAAATNGAAAAAGGAACATCATTAGCGATCAAGAGATGCCTTGGAAACCTCAAATCGACATTCTAAAATTTCAAGAATTCTTTTTTTTTTTTTTTTTTTTTGACAAAAACCTTGTAACAATGTAATGAAGCAGCGAAGTCTGGGAGTAAACTTTACAACAATCCCCACATTAATCTTAGGACGCCAAATATGTTTAAATATCCTGATAGGCTGTTTTATAGGACTTAAGTTTACAGGATCAAACAATTATGCGTCCTATGCTATGTAAAGGTGTTATAATAAGTTGATAGCACACTTTTGGGCGTCATATTAGTCTTTTTGTATACAACATTATTTAAAATTTGCTTTGTAAAAAGATGTGTTCACAAGACGGTTCTCAGAAGTGTCATATATAAAAGTTAATTAGACATTTTTATTTCAAAAGTGTCCTGAAAGACTTGTTAGGACTCAAAAAACGTTCTATCAACTTATTATAACACTTTTATATACGACATTCATTGTTTGGACCCACAAACTGAAGTCCTGTAAAGCAGTTTATTAGAATATTTAGTCATATTTGACATCCTATAAAGCCGACTTAATTGTAGTGTTCTTTTTCAAACAAGGAGGTGGTGGGACGGTTTCAATTCTTGAAATTGTTAAAGTGCAATCGTCTACCATTCACATACGACCCTCTATTATATATGTGCTAAAGAGCCTGTTTTGATGCAAATGTTCCCCAAAAGGCACCAACTTGATTAAGTTATTGGCATCAAGAAAACTAAAGACGAAGTTGGGTGAAGAACATACTTGGTACCGGCTACACGGGTGTTAACATGAGTTTTATCTTCAGGGTAGAGCCTGGCCATGCCAAAATCCGCAATCTTGGGTCTCCATTTTTTGTCCAATAGAATATTGCTGGCCTTTATATCTCTATGGATGATGCGATCGTGTGAGTCTTCATGAAGATAAAGCAAACCTTGTGCAACGCCAACAATTATGGAATATCTCCGCTTCCAATCAAGTACATCCCGCTTTTCAGATTCTAAAACAATAAAATCAAGAACATTTTCAGGAAACAAATAGGTCCGAATTCAATGCAACATAGTTTAACCCAAAAATGACAAAAAAATAGCATTGATTTTGATCCAAATAATGGAGAAGAGAACATACTGAATAGAAGTTTATCGAGGCTCTCGTGAAGGACATATTCGTATACCAAAAGCTTCTCTGGGAATGCACAATATCCCAACAAGCTCACAACGTTTCGATGCTGTATGCAAGCCAATAGTTTGGCCTCGTTCGTGAATTCCCTTTTCCCTTGTTTTGAGGTCTGTGAGAGCTTCTTCACAGCAATCTCCCTACCATCTTCCAATTTTCCCTAAATTCATTACAATAATTGGAAGACTGATCATCACGAAAATCTCAATGCTCTAAATCACTGAAGTTAGATTTGAAATCAAATCACAAAGAAATCGCCAATTCACTACAGCTATCAGAAGATTGATCATCGTGAAAGTATCAATTCTCTACAGTAATCATGCATTCAATCATTGAAATTAAATTTTGAAATGGATCAGTAATAAGAAACCCAATTCAATTGCTTTCAAAATCAAGTGCTTATCTTCAATTATGAATTCAACAGATAAATAAAACCCTTCGACGATTTCTGGGGATAAGAATTGAACCTTGAAAACAGGGCCAAAACCCCCTTGACCAAGCTTATTATCGAAGTTGTTTGTTGCAGAAACTAGGGCTTGAAAAGTGAAAATCTTCTGTTCTTGAGCAGGAACCTTTTCTAAATCTTCCGTTGTACCTTCTCACGAAACCAATTTCAAAACCCAGAAAAGTTAGCACATGAAAACGAATATAATCAAAAACCCATCTGCAGAAAGACCTAAAAATCGCAAGTTTTACCTGTGCAATTGGACTTGCAGGGTTTGGTGAGCTGGTGAAAGAAGTTCTTGAATTTGGTCATGATGTTTAGCAACTATAACAACCCATGAATCAACAGAACAAATGAGGTAATATAGTTGAAATCGTTTGATCATTCGATCTCTAAAGACGTGTTCTTTCCCCCTGAATTTGGTAGTTGACTTCCAAGAATGCCAGCTATTTGAGAATGTTTAATGGATAGACATAGACATTTGAAGTCTGAAGATATCAACACGATACTCATGAGAAGAAAGAAAAGTCAAGATTTGCAAAATTATAAAATATTCTACAAACGTTTATTAGTATTATAAAGACCACAAGAATATACAATAATTAAATTTTTAAAAGGAAAATATTTTTTTTTCTTACTTATTAGGTAAGAACTTCGATTGTTATTATGTCTCTTAATGAGTTATCTTATGCGGACTCAAAGTCCACAGCCAAACATCATTTGATGTCCATAAGAGGACCCGAATAGGTAGCCATTAGAACAAATTCTAATGATTTAAAGATTGTTTGGTTAATTTTTTATTAAGTTATGTATAAATAAATATGTCTGTGTAGAATCTGTCGGTATAGATTGTGTACGTTATTGTTTAAGATTTTTTTTTTCATAGATGAAATGAACGTTATTCTAATTGGCGGGGACAAGTATGAAAAAACTTGTTCTGCATAAAACTCTCTTCTATAAACTTACCTAATAAGTCACCTTCTATATTATTAAGTCATTACCAAACAATCATGTATATATCTGACTAAATAAACTGTGAGTTACGTTAAGCTCATTAATCTCTTTTTCCGTTATGCGCATCACACAAGACAAATATTATTTTGAATTATTTAAAAATATATACCACTTTTTAAAATTACTTATTTATTCCTTAATAAATAATGATAATAATAATTAACATATATTTGATATCAACAACTCTTTCCCAATTTCCTTTTAATAATGTATATTCTAGGTATTAGATTATTAATGAAATAGTTTTTTATAAATACATTGTCGATTTTGTTAATATTATTTTATGATGTTATTTTTAAATAAAAATAATACCCATAACCACAATTAATGCAACATGAAAATGAAATATTTGTATTTTATGTAAACGTATATTATTAAATGAATTTCTTTTATGTCTTTATTATGTGTGATTATAGGAAAACCGGAAAGTTAAAAGGTGTTTTATCTTGAATTATTTATATTATTTAATTAAGTCAAGTAAATGTTAAAATATTTAATTTCAAGGGTCAACAATGGATGCATGATTTTCTATACATACACACTAACTATTATATCTATATATAATTAATATGGAGAAATATATCTAAAAATGTCACATAAAAATTTTGAGAATTTAGATTTAAAAAGAATATGTCTATTGAACAATAATGACTAATTTGTATCGTCAGAAGTTCAAAAATTAAACCTTAAAAATAGTCAACCGTTTGTCATCGTATATACAATGATATACGTTTAGAAAACATATACATAGGTTAAATAAAATTCAATACTAGATCATCTTATAATTTACTAATTAATAAAAGATTAATTGGTTAGAAGTCTAGCCAATTATTTATAAGTCACATGGTTATATCTAAAATATCTACATTAATGAAAAAAAATGAGATACATTTTTGTTAGTTAAAAATACATGATAGAAATGTTGAATTTTGTAGTGCCCACAAATAGTTATAGAATTCTTAGCCATTGACGATTGAGATTCGTGAAGTGTATTTTCAAGATTGACTTCTTTTTAGTGCAAAAGTATTTATTGACTTTTTATTTCGATAAATTTTCCACTTATTTCTTGAATTTTTTAAGTTTGTTGAACCAACTTTTGCAAAGCAGTTAAGTCTACCTTTCAATCGGTTTTAACTATTTGAATGATGATTTACCAAACACTAATCGGGGGTAAGTTTACCGGTCAATATGACAAGTCCAGAATTCTTATTCGTTAAAAGGGATGATAAATACCGAGAATCTTACTACGTAAGTGAAGGGTCATAATTTTTAGAGGATAAGGTACCCTTATTAACAAGCCTACTAATGTCATTTTGATTACCGAAAATCTTACCCACAAATATCTAATAACAATCTCAATTTAGTTATCAGATTAAACAAAATCAAACAACAACCTCAATTTCTTGAGAAGCAATAAAACGTGAAATGTTAGAGATACTTTCTCTTTGCAAATTATTTTTCTTTCTAGGTTTATCACAATTTATATATATATATATATATATATATATATATATATATATAGGGAAAGGTTCAAACGAGAACCTCTGTGATTTACGAAAACGCGAGAACAACTCAATAACCACATATTGTGATAAAAAAATAAAATTAAAAGATTTTTAAAATTAAAATTAAAATTTAAAAAGATTCAAAAAAATTTAAAATTAAAAGGGTAATAATGGAAATGATATATTATCTAGAAAACGGTTAGAATATTTTAAACTTATCATTAAACACAATCAAAATCTTTTAAACTTATCATTATCATCTACAAAACGGTTACGATTACAAGTCTAACTTCAAATCGCAAGAACTATGGACGGCGACGGTGTTGATCAACGGTGACCAACCAAGAACACACAACCGTAA